TAGTAGGAAATGAAAATTCATTAATTTTTTTGATGATCAAAATTTGGACTTTGATCATCAACAATTTTCAAATTTMMAAGAATGAACTTGGTTATTTTTTTTTTTTTTTTTTTTTTTTTACCTACCACACACCATAATGATCAAACATGAAGATTCGACGGAATCACCATTTTCACAACTTTTTTTGGCGCGAAGACTATGTTAGCGAGACCTGGCACTCACTCATACACAAGTCCTTTATTTGGGAGGGGGAGATCATATTCTCTATTGCTAGCTAGCATCAACAGGATAGATACAAAATTATTAACAAATAAAACATACATTGCATATAATATATAATGTTGGGAGAAAAGCGAATACTAGAGAGAGAGGTGTTGACGACTATATCACCTTCACTGAATGGCAAGACGATGACTTCTACGAATGGTCCCGCATTCAATTTGGCAAGGACACATCCGATCTTCTGAGACAGCATGAAGTAAGCGCCAATGTGTTCTGTGACTACACAGAGGGCGAAATCTCATCACATATAAATTTCATCACATATAAACTCCATCACATATAAATTCCATCACATATAAACTTCATCACACATAAATATCATCACATATAAATTTCATCACATATAAGTCACATCACATATAAATATTTATTGCTTCAACAGCAAAGCCTTATTAGAGAATGGATAGTGATTCCTTGTATCGTTATTTCGATGGCACAGGACACAAATGCACACAATACTTCATGAAGAATGTTGTTAACTACGAGCTGAGACCATTGAACAGTAAGCAGGTTGTATGGAACAAGCTCAACAAGACCTTTGTTCCAAGAGAAGATGATGTGGATGACATCATCAGAACCCATCACATGGGACAGGGCGTTCACCTTCACCGAGGTGTCCTGGCCACTGTCACATCAATATCTCATCTCTACACCATTAACAGTATGTGCCACATCTCGATGATCGGCATCCTCTTCGGTATATATACCCACACTCACTTATTACGCAGACATCAACGTTAGGGTCCGTATGTTCATCAAGCTTTGTAATACTTGCCATGGTAGATCAACGCAACCTACTCCGAATCAACACACAGAGCCCTTGCAACAACAACAACAACAACAACAACAACAACAACAACAACAACAACAACAACAACAACAACAACAACAACAACAACCTGCCCCATCGCCAAACGAGGGGAGCAGCGACAGTAGTTGTAACCCCTCATCACCAATTGATCAAGACTCCATGGAGAGTGACAACACAGACGACGAACCGGAACATGGCGAGGACGATGCTGATAAAGATGATGATGACGACGACGAACCGGACAATGATCCGATCTGCGCATATGGGGAACGTTCCATGTCGGGTATGTACTCAGTGCGACAAATCTCTACAAGGCCCAAGGCTATAGCCATCTAATATAATCAATCACACCACCCCAGAAAAGGACATTCTCATCCAGAGAATCCACAATATGCTCAGGTTAAAGGACAACAACGCACTAAGAGTCTTTTCCTTACCAACTTTCAACCACAGATCAGCCAATGAACTTAGTGCCCTTTCAAAGACCTACAAGAAATACTCGCTGTTCCTGCACCCGGATAAGAACACACAAGGCACAACAGCCAAGCAACTAGCTCGCATACAAGAAGCATTCAAGTTCATGAAGAACGCATACGAATCATTGATCACTGGATATAAGACCATTAAAAGGGACTAATCTTTATGCGGGCACATTTTAAACCCAGATTGTTCCTACATCCTCATTGTGCGGGAACATTTTAGACAAAGATTGTTCCCACTTCAAATTGGGGGGGGGGATAAATTGCATTTGGTTTATTCTCGCATTATTTATATAAATGCGGGAACATTTTAAACACAGATTGTTCTCTCAGCAGGGTGACCGCTCCCAGATGCAGCAGGGTCAGAGAACGCATGGACTACTCGATCTCCCTTTGGCCAACAACATGCCAGACGATTACAATGTTGACCTCTGTATCAAAACCTTGAATGGATTCGTCGATGCAGGCTTCTAGCTCGATGTATTGAACGAAGCAACCAGGAAGATCCACATCAGTCACTTGCTATCCAGGTCTTGTCTCATCTTCAACGCACTCAACCGTGATGTTGGCCCGCCAATCGCTCGCTCGTGTCTCTGCCGAATCCCCACTGAACGCCTTCACCAGCAACACAATCCTCCAGGGTATTGCCGATTACATAATCATCTTCATCAAAGACATACCTCTCTGTGTGGTGGAGGTCAAGCACCAGCAATTCGACAAAGGATCTCGACAGGTCATTGGAAGCGCACATCACATCTTTTTGTCTCGTGGTCGAGACATCAAGGCTGTCTATGGTATCCTGACCGATGGCATCACGTGGCAATTCCAACAAGTACTCCCGATGGATCTGTCAACACCACAAAGCTTGTCCACCCGTGCAAAGGTGAATTCAGGTGGACCGGTGACATGATCAAGGATACACTTGCCCGTGTATGTGCCCTGCTGGATAAGATCAAAAGGGACATCACTGACGATTCGACAAAGACGACAACAATAACACAATGAACATCATTCATGCATCCATCTTTGCTCTCGCTATAGTGTATGGTAAAGAGACCGAGGCCAGCATGGGGGATGTTGCTCGTCTTCACTTCGAGTGAGTGGCACTCACGTAGATGTTTGTTGCAGAAGGTCCAACACTTGGTCAGCGTTCCACAATGAGCAATGAGCCACTGTGCAGATGTTGAGCGAACCGTGGAGAGTGATCAGCTTCTTCATCCTTTTGATAGCAACTTTGACAGAGCCGTCGGTTACATTGTGTTTGAGGGCGATCATCCTATATCCATCTTGTTCAGCGAGTGGCAACAGTTTTGAAATGAAGGACTGTCCATGCTCATGGCTCATGATGCCTTCACCTATTGAGGCTGTTATTACTATACTATACTATAGATATACTATCCACTACTGCTTTGTCACCACCACCTCGTCGCGGCTCCCGGGCTTCGCCCTCCCGCCGACTCCGTCGGTGGAACAAAACTAATTACTTGATAGTTTTATTATTAATATTATTTAGTAATTAGTTTGAACGTGTTGTATTTAATTAAAAGTTAAGTTCTAACAGTTCTTCGCTTCGTCTTGGTGATGTCACGCCACTTGTTCTTGTACCTTTTGTTGACCCACCGTTCCATTGCATTTTGGCGTGCCATTATTCTGCTACATTGGGCCATGGTGACGTCTTGGTTCGCGTCTTCCATCACAATCCCCCCATCGTTGCAATTGTTATTGTCCTCATCCTCCTCTTGGATAGTTGCCTTCAAAGGATGATTTAGGCGGCTACTCTTAAATTGATTAACGTCATCAAGGGTTTGAGCTTCCTGGCCATGGATGACTCCAACATTGTGGGACATTATCGCACTTCCACGGCCAACAGTTAGCTCACAATCGATTGCTACAGAATCTATAGTTTGTTTTTTCGCATCATATTGTTGATACCATTTTGCGAAAGCTGAAAGGATGTCAACGCATTTGCTTTCTCGCTGATCCAGTGCAGGTTCTTCAAATTCGAAGGTGGAAACTCCACCGTGCCTTGGATTATTGATTATAGTAATGAACACCGATAGTAGTTTGTTCTCCATATCACGCGCATCGTGATTGTAGGATTTTCCTTGATATTCTTGATTGGCTTTGATTGGGTAGTAGCACCAGGCATAAGTATGGATAAACGTATCCTTAGCTCTGTGAGCATTGATACGGTCTTGTACACTAAGAGTTGACATGCCAATGTACGAAGTAACAAGATATGTATCACCTTCTGTTATGATAGGCTGAAAAAAAATGTACACTCCAGGGTCATTGCTATTTGAATCTGGTTGTGATGTGCGTGGGGCACATGTCCATCCATTTCGGAATAATTGTGGCTTATTCGTTACTGGAACACCTGAAAGAGGTAGAACAGAGTTGATTTTTATGCTGATTGCTACTGGTGAGATGATAATAATGAGTGATATAAGTAGTGTGATACTCTCCAACGATCTCATTGTGTTGTGTATGTATGTGCTTGCTTGGTTGGGTTCACACTGAAAATTGACAACTGAACATCTTGCTTGCTCACCTCTTTGGCACAAATATGAAATATGAAATTAAATTTAAATTTAAGAATTTGGAGTAGAGAAAAGTTGAACAAAAAAAACCTCGTCCAAAACTTAACTTCACGGCGGGACCTATCCTTAATTCGCATCTGCACACAACACAAATAACATAATTGCGAACCATGTTCACACTACTACCTGTTTATATATTAAGAGTCGTAGTTTCGCATCTTGATTATATTGACATAATATGTTTTCTCCTCGTAAACAGAAATATCTTTATGTTACATAAGAGTATAGCACCATCATTGAAGCTCCAAGTCTTATCTTCAAGAAAACAACTAAACCCAAGAACATTCATACACCTTACAAATTGCGGTCGCACCGATATACCACCGAATGCATGCTTCAGAATACAATATGGCACGCCACAAAATGTTCAAATTCCCTCATCAATCACAGATTTGAAGGTGTCGTTCTACCCTCAACCCTTCCATGTTGTGTACATACCACAGTCAATTACACAACTATCATTGGATCATCACAATGAATCACTTCAAGCTGGACATATACCACAATCAGTTACACAACTATCATTTGGTGATTTCAATCAACCACTTCATGTTGGACATATACCACAGTCAGTAACACACTTATCATTTTGTGGTTTCGATCAACCACTTCAAGTTGGACATATTCCACAATCAGTAACACATTTATCGTTGGCTGCTTTCAACCAACCACTTCAAGTTGGACATATTCCACAATCAGTGACACATTTATCGTTGGCTGCTTTCAACCAACCACTTCAAGTTGGTCATATTCCACATTTCGTGACTCAATTATCATTTGATGATTTCAACCAACCACTTCAAGTTGGACATATTCCACAATCAGTAACACAATTATCATTCCTTCTCTTTTATCAACCACTTCAAGTTGGACACATTCCACAATCAGTGACACAACTATCATTTGCTGTTTTCGATCAACCACTCCAGGTTGAACATATCCCACAGTCAGTGACACAACTATCATTGGATAGATTCAACCAACCACTTCAAGTAGGACATATTCCACAATCAGTGGCAGAGCTATCGTTGAGTAAATATTCTCGACCACTTCAAGTTGGACATATTCCACAGTCAGTGACACAATTATCATTTTCTCTCTTCAATCAACCACTTCAAGTTGGGCATATACCAAAGCATGTAAAACATCTAACTTTTGGTGGTTGCTTTGATCAACATCTCACAACAGAATATATTCCATCAGTTACGTCGCTATCGATTTATTCTACTGTATTCTCCCCCAAGAATTTCAGTTTGCATGATCACAAGTGTCTCAATGAGCTCACTGTTATTCACTGCGTCGGCCCATCCATCCCACCCAAACACTGGAGAGACCAGGATCGAGCTCCACCATCATTCTTGGACCATAATACTGACTCTATTGTCAGGATGTATGGACTTTCACATCTCATCATCAAAGTCATGCCAAACTACACAATAAGCAAAATGGACGAGTGCGTCCCTCCCTCTCTTTTGCGCTTACTTAAGTCGATCACAACAATTACTCTGCAAATCTTCCCCCCCAATGGATTCTCCATCGTTAACCACGACTTTGAGACGACTTGGAGGTTATCTGATGATGAGACAGGACTTTTTTTAACTAGCACCCGTTCAGGTTGTGACGGTGGTAACGGAGTTGTATCATTTTGGAAATTTCTGGAAGCCTGTGCCGACACTGCTAAGCCACAGGCCAAGGTCCATCATACACATTCTGCGAAGCTGTCATCTAAACCCCGGATTACCAAGTACCCATCAGCAGCCACTGATCATGAAGCCGTAACTAAACTCAGAGAATTCATGGATGGAAAGACGATATCTCAGATGTCCAGGCTAACAAAGGACAAGTTGAGTCAATATCTTACAACCATGGGAATACCAACGACTTCGGATACCAAAGCCACCAAACTCAAACTGGCCAGAGAGCTATCAAAGGCTTTAAATGGCAAACAATAATAGAACAGTGGAGCGACCGCCCTTCTTCGGACTCTCATAGGCATTATTTGAATTGGCACCTGTCACCGTTTGAAGGGAAGGACTGAGGACTGTGTGTGCGATTTTTTCTGTGACTGCTATTGTTAATATAGATACTGCACCTCTTTGTTACCACCTTTTGTCGCGGGTGGCTCCGGGCCACCCCCTCCCGCCGACTCCGTCGGTGGGACAAAACTACTATTACTGATCGCTCTTATATATAAGAGTTCCGTTCCTGGGCTGGGATCAGGAATGCGAAGAGCCTTTTCCAATGCTTTCATTTATTATTCAAATACATCTATCATAATCCAATTATCTATGACCACTACAACGCACCAATGTCATCCGAGTGGGTGGATGTCCCTCCAACGTACTTGTCAAAGTTGCTACCAAAAGGATGAAAAAGCTGGTCGCCCTTCACGGCCCACTCAACATCTGTACAATGGAAGAAATTAAATAAAACAAGCCACTGCCCTTTATGCTTCAATCCGTTTCCAACAGAAGACGATATTATTTAATCTTAATCATCTTCATGACTGCATACATAAATTGATTGCTGAGAACTGTTGGCGTGATATAAATGGAGAAATCCAATGTGGAAGGGGGATGAGGACATAATGACCACGGAGAGATCATCCAACATTCTTGATTGGATTGTGTATTGGCCATTGAGATCAATTGTGACAGTGGATGCTGATTTAAGTATTGATGTCATACCGGGAGGTGGACGTAACATAACATGTGATGGGTGGAGAAACTCTTTAGATACATAGACAATTATTTCTTTGAGCTTTCTTGCAGGTGGTTTTTGAAATATGGAGGGGTTGTGCAGAATCAAAGTATGGATGTTTGGACAGTCATCAAAGAAACCATCCAAATTGTGAGGATATCGCTCACCTATAACCAAATGGGTTACGGATGGAATCGCCTCTGGTTGTATCAATTGAGTGTAAGCAGTGGAGAAACTGAGCTTAGTCAAAGAAGGAGGAAGGACACCCTTGTTGAGGGTTTGATTGAAGCGTAGACCAAAGGATATTTCCGTCACTGACGATGGAAAACATCCCTCAATTATCTTTTGGTTGAAGAGGTTTCCAAACGATATTTTGACAACAGAGGACGAAAGAATGTTGGAAGAGATATGCTTATTGAATATGTCTCCAAATGACAAATGTGTGACCGAGAGAGGAATGAACGTCAATATGTCTTGGTTGAACTTTGGCAAAGTTAAATGCTTGACAGAGTGAGGGATAACAACATCGTTGCATTTAAAGTCGATCGACAGAGTGACTACAGATGTTGGAATGCATCCAGAGGGAATTGGGTGGCGACCAGATGAAAGATTCAAATTAGTCACTGAGAAAGGTATCATTCCAGAGTTGATTTCACCATTCATCAATAGCTTGAGCTTGGTAACGCAGGGGGGGATATGAATTTCTTGTGAGTTGAAAGTAAGCTGCAGTTTGGTCACAGAAGTTGGTATGCATCCTGGTAAAATTGGTTGGTGATAGTGTTGTCCAAGCTTGAGTTTTGTAACTGATAAGGGGATGATTGAAGGATTGATCTCCACATTGTAATTTTTGCCAAATTTGAGTGTTGACACGCTGTTGGGGATTGATCCAGGTAGTAGGGGATGTGTCTGTGCTCCACTCAATGAGAGTTTGGTCACAGAATTGGGGATGGCACCAGGATAGAGTGGTTGATTGAAACGAGAAGCTTGTTTGAGTCCAAAGAAAAGCTCTGTGATTGATGGAGGTATAGAACCGGGTTCGATTATTTGATTGAAAAGCAAGCCAAAGGTCAATTGTTTGAGTGAATGGGGCAGAGTGTCGGGCTTGAGGCCAATATTGGGATATTTTGGGTGATAGATAATTGATGTTGGTTTAGAAATGGTAACATATGTACTATAGGAAATTTTGTTAAGGTATGCATTGCTTCCAATAAGATTACTATTTCTATTGGTCTTTTGTAATTTCTCTGTTGTTTGGGGTGTTTGTATGATTGTAAGTAAATTTGCTCATAAACAACCTGTACTACTGGCTACTACTTTACTTTACTTTACTTTACTTACTTATTATTGAGCGAAGTGTGAACGGGGAGAAATTGACAACCTGTTGTTGAAAAGCTAAGTAAACATGTTTGCAACAAAGAATAAAGCAAATCTGGTCTATTGGAGAAAGTAGACACATAACGAGAGAGAGGATATTGTATGTTAATTGATACAACATTTTGGCAATGAACGAGGCACCTGAAGCAAATAAAATAGTTGGTTAGTGTGTAGATAGAATGTAATGATTTATATGATATTAAAACAGTGAACAGTGTTGTGTGTTGGATGTAAAAGGAGATCGTTCATGAATGATGTATGTATGTGTATGTATGCAGTGCGAAAAAAGCTAAGTAAAAAAAAACAATCTCAACATTCCTGATGGCAAATCAATTACAAACAAATCTGAATCATTGTGGTCGCTTAGATTCAAATTTTTTTTAATTATTTTTGATCACTAAAATGAAATGATCACCAACCACTATGTCTGTGCAGGTGCTTTTCGATGCACCTTTCTTTGTGTTATGTTTGTATTTTATTAGTCAGCTCAGGAAGATAGAGATAGATAATGGTGTCTCTCTTGTCGAACATAATAAGACTCCTATCAGTCGTATTACTCATCAACAGTGCAATCTCTTTAACGCCGAAAATATATTCTGCGTTATACTGCGATAATTCTATTAAAAATGTTGCCCCTGGGTGGCACTGTGCCGCCGCATCTGGTAAAAGTGGAGATCCACACGGCGTTCCGACATCAGAAGTACCTGGAATCTACATATACTTCGAACCAGTATATTTAGATCTTATAGAGACCAACTACTATTATCTCACCACATACATTGGAAGTGCTTCAAAAGACATCAATGGACGATTGGGTGCTCATCGAAACAGCGAAGAGGATCTCGAATTTCAACAGTTCAGTACCGTGGATAATCTGGTCGTCTGCACATTTCCATTTTCTGACACCAATGGTCCAAAAGGCCTCGTGGATTACGATGTTTTTGATGTAGAATCCAAGCTGTTGTCAAAGTTCGTCACAATTGCAAATAGCCCAAAACTTGGCGGAACGCCTTTTGTTGAGGATATAACTGGCAATTTTGGAGACAAGCGCTTTTACAAATACGGCTCCAATGATCTGCCCGTGGATATACTCGAATCTTTCTCCCAATGGTACTACAATTATTACTTTGGCACTGACAACAGCATTAATGCCAAATCATCGAAAAACGATCATGTATACCCGTCCAAACTACAAAATCCTTTAGAAACTATTGACAGTGTACCCATTCCAACTGTCAAAGGAACCACGAAAATGGTTTGTTTTCCTTTTGGTGATGAACAAGACAAACTCGATATGTATCAAAGCGACCAAGATGTTGCTGAAAGAGTCACAGAACTTCAGTCAATGCAACAATCTGAGACTCAGAAAGCGATCAATATAGGTTGTAATGTCGATTGCTGCCCTACATCTTCAAAGAGTCGAAGAAGAAGTACAATTGATGGAACTATGATGGAAAGCGGATCGCATTGGCTTAGGAAATACTGCAACCTTGCATATAAACAAGAAACATATACAAAAACGAAGGGTGCCGCACAAACAACAAAGAGGAGGTGGCGAACAGTGACAAAATAAATACAATAACGACGTAACATATCGTCAGATGGTCATCAAAGTATCTTGTGTTTAACTTCACTGTCCTTCAATCAGAGCCAAAAATTCAAACTCCTTCTAATCCAATCTTCTTCCCAGCAGGTGTGACACACACCATTCAGATCATTGTTCGCTCAATCTCTCCTCTCCATTATTCATTTTGGAATTTCGCAACAACTTCGCCAAATGAATAACATTGTTTGTACTGTTAGATACGTGAGCTGTATTTGATACACACAGATATGTGTGTGTGAATGATGTCATGTTGTTCACTCAATACTCATATCACTCCTTCACACACACAAGTATGATCGTACGCTAGTACGCTCGTACGTACGCTCGTACGCTCGTACGTACGCTCGTACGCTCGTACGAAAGTTTTTGGCACCAACAAAACCCTTTTTCCTTTTTTTTTTTTAACACTTAACACTAACACAACCAATTATAAATCTGCCCTTGAGCCAGCGGAACTTTGCTAAGTAAGCAGGCAGTCTGGCGTATGTTGGTACAACGCCCTACCATGAGCAACCAAGCTCAATATGGACTGGACAAAGATGCAGTCTACAAATGATTCAAATTGCGACACCCTTGGATTGATGCTGATGATCACAACAGTGCGCTACATAGTATATGTCTTCAGGTAGGGTCGATCATGTATCTGTTGTCCCGTATCTGTTTCGTCTGTGTGTATGTGCAATTATTATTAATGATTATGATTATTTATGATTTGGATATTTGTTGTTTGAACTACATGTCTGTTCAAATTTTTGGTCAAAACACATTTAATTAAGTATTTGAGCCTTTAATAGTGCTAGTGAATAGTGGCGAGCTATTGTTGCTTGCTCCTCTTCCCCACCAACTGTATCGACCATCCTATTGTCACAGATATGAGATATGCAGAGCCACAACAACAATGATAGGATTGCAACAACGACAATGAACTACAAGATGAAGCGATATCCACATTATTCATTATTTGAAGCATCGAAGCAACTTCACTCGACTTTACTGACCATGCATCGTCCGATCGCCGCCACTCATACAGATTAACTTCCGAGACTTGACTACTGACTGAATAACTGTCTTGTTGTCGGATACTCACTTTTTGGATGCATTGGCCACGCGATAGGTGATCGAACTTACTAACTAAGATTAACAAGGTCGTCAATGAACTTACTAAGATAAGGTTGCCATGATATGTAGCTGGAGAACGTAGGACCACGATCGTACAGGTACTGGATGCTGCTTGAAGGCTGGCTGGCGTACAGTGGACAAAACAGATACGGACACGTATTAGTATAAAACTGCACCTATATAAACTACACTAGTATTATACATTACATAACTGTCTCCTCATCGATCATACAATCATTTATTACTTATTACTATTACAGATTAATCACACATCACTTTATAGTTATAACTCTATTTGATTTACATATAGTCAATACCATTCGATTGCACTTGTTGTGTACTTTACATTGATGTCTATCATCATATTTATACGATCATTTATTACAGATAAACACAGAACGAGGGTAGCTTGTCGACTGTTTCGAATAATATCTATCTCAACTTTGACACCTGATCCACAATCAATCAACATGGTGTCATTTCGCTCCACAAATCATATAATACTAGGCTGTTTTGACTCTATAATTTGTTTTGCTCCAATCACTCCCCCACTTTTATAAATTATATATATATAATTTATTCACCCAGCCAAACCAGTAACAAAAAAGTTGGCAAGGTGTGTGTTAGAGGTGGTGGCGGAATGTTTTTGGATTCAAAAAGCGTCGCAGACCACATAATACTGGCGCTTTTTGACTCTGATACAACGCCACACAGCTGATTCATTCTATCAATTTTGTTTTTCTTTATTTGTAATTACAATGTCACAAAACCAACAACAACTCTACATCAGCCAAAGTGATAACATATATGAATATGAGCATTGTGAGAAGTATTATTATAGTATACAGAGATAGAGATGTCATTTTTTATATATTTTTTTTTATATATGTTGCGCAGTGTGTTGTATTGGATGAATGAACAAATGAAATGGCAAGTGATTGCTTACGCCTCACTGCTGTCGCACAAAACGCGCGCAAAATAAAACAACACACAAAAGAAAATAAATAAATAAAAAATGTGCCAAAGCAACAAGAGGCAACCACGCACGCAGGTATCAATCACTGCACCCACCCCACGAATTCATTTCATTTGAATTTAATAATATTTGTAACTACACATATTTTTTGCACAGAAAACAAGTAATTGATTTTAATATTACTCTCAACTTACATTCGAAGAATAATTTGGTTACTTTATGACACAATTGATGTTTAATATTTACTCTTAATAAGCAGAAGCATCTTCTCACTTCAAAAACTCATCGCACCGTCACTGAAGCACCACTTTGGAGCTATACCATCATCATCACAACAATCGACAGGGAAGAAAGAAAGCCTA